GTGATTCAGGAATTTCAGCACTGTCATTCAGAGGGATGGCATTATCATCTTTTTCATTATTAGCAAGCTGAGCAGGTCCTGCTTCAGGTGGGTTCTCTTGATAAGTCACAGAACTCTTGAAGAAGTCCTTCTCAGGAAAGATATCGGGGTTAAAGGGATGAATGCCAGTTGCTCGGAAGGCACTCAGGATATTTTGTGGGGTAAAACTTTGGAGAATGGCTGTATGTACAAAACCTGCAACTTCATAAATACTCACAGATCTGCCTGCATTTTGACTATTCCAGGTGTGCACAGCTTTGTTGTATGCATTTTTGAAGGGCTTGAAAACTCCCACATCTAATGGCTGAGTGCGGTGGGTGGTGTGAGGAGGAAGAGTAAAAAGAGTTACCCCATTTTCTTTGCACAAATTAATAACGCTGAGGGTAATATGACTGCCAAAATTGTCAACTATGAGCAGCGATGGGTTCTCTTTGGAACTATTTGAATGATCGATGAAATGCTGAATAGACTGGACCATGACAATGTGATTCATGTAACCTTTCTTTCCAGTCGCTATCCCTTTCGTTCCAGGGTAGCAATCTTTTCCCATGCCAGTATTGTAAGTGATCCTAGGAAACAGCATGACTGGAGGCAAGAAAGTTCCATTAGCATAGGCAAAAAACATAGATGTTACACTCTCACCTCTCTCATGGCTTTGAGCTTGATGTACTTGTCGGCTTCCCTTAGGTCCAACAACTTTTCTAGTAATTGCACCAACAGTTGTTGTTCCAATTTCATCAGCATTAAAAATTCTTTCCCCAGATGCAAACCTGGGGTTCCTGTCCAGCACAGTGTTTAACTTCTCAAAGTAGTTTTGGATGTTGGGCTTGTTGAAACATGCTGCTCTGCTTGCACTAAATGCTTGAGGAAGCCTAAGAGGGAGTGTTCGGTTCCTCTTCATGAATGCCATGAACCATTCCTTTCCTGCTGTTTTCTTTACCTTCCAATTTTCTGGTACTTGGATAGCGTTGGCCTCAGCAAAATCAAAAGCTAGCGTTCGAACTTCATCAGTGTCCAAACCATGGCCCAGCTCTGAACGTTCTCGTATATAAGATGTTAATTCAACCTCCAGGTCAGGACTGAACACCTGATTATGGGTATAATTTGCTGTCAGAAGTGACTCATCTGGGATTTCACTTCCATTTAGTTTCTTGTATTTCCTATTCAAAGTATTGTAGTTCAAATCGTGGTCCTTTGCTGCTGAACGTATAGTTTTGCCTGCAAGTACATCTTGTAATGCAGCTTTCATCTGTTCTCCTGTATACGTCCCTTTATTGCTTGTTCTTGGTTTTGTACGAGGCATGCTGTCCAGGATAAAAAAATAATAATTAGAAAGAGCACTGCAAGTAAACAACTCATAATCGTCTGCTACTGTGAATCAAAACAAACCTTGTTATTTTGTGGTTGATGATTTCACTCC